GAAGCCTGAAATCCTCAGATATGAAGTCTGAAATCCTCAGAACCAGGCAAGTCATTTGATTCTATTTGAGATCTTATCTTAATCAAACCTCCAACTCTTCTCTTCATTGGAAAATTATATTTTCATCGATTTGCTGAATGCACACTACATATACACAGGATTAACACTGCCATAAAAAGCTATAGTATGTTGGTACCAACTTTATCAAACAAGGCCCTCCTTCCCGCTCCCCTCAAAAAAACCTTTTTAAGTGATGGTACGTACACAGCAGTGACAGGATCATTATCTTTTTCGTTACAAATGGAAGAATACGAAGGAAAGATTTTCCTGAGATAAGTTGGCGACTGTCAAAAGACAGAAATGATACACAGACATCTATACATGTATATGTATAATAATACTTATACATATATCTAAAGCAAATGGTCTGAGTTGGAAGAAATTGGCCAAGCCGCAGTGAAAGGCACAGAGAAGCAGGGGCCCTGGCATATCAATGATAGTCTACCCTCCAGGGATGAACTAAAGAAAGGGGAAGAAAGCATTAGAGCAGACAGTTCCAGAACTGTCACCAAGGAGCACTGTCATCTCTGCTAGGCTGGGAGGGCACACAGGGCATAAGATTATTCAGTGGTGCACGCCAGCTCCACTCTACCTTCCTCAATAATATCATGGAAGAATGTGATAACTTAGGATTGGAACAACCAAGGTCAGGAGAAAACTTCTGAAAATTCTTACAATTACTGCTTTTTTTTATTTAAAAAAATATATACACACTATTCAGCCATAATAAAGAGGGAAATCCTGCCATTTTTGTGACAACACAGATGAATCTGGGGGACATTATGCTAAGTGAAATAAGTCAGGCACAGAAAGGCAAATACTGCATGATCTCACTCATATGTGGAATCTTAAAAAGTTGATTTCATTAGAAGTAGAGAGGAGAATGGTGGTAACCAGAAGCTGGAGTAGTTAGGGAGATGTTGGTCAAAGAATACATATTTGCAATTAGACAGGAGAAATACATTCAAGACATCTGTTGTACAGCATACTGACTTTATTGATATACTGTATTCTTGAAAAATACTAAGTGACATTAAAGTGTTCTCTCCAAAAAACAGTAACTAAATGAGGTAATGTATTTGTTAATTAGCTGGATTTAACCATTCTATGGGGTATATGTACTTCAAAACATCACGTTGTAAATAATACATACAATTTTATAACAGTTAAAAAAACAAACTTGAAAATATATATATATACACATAGGCAATATCTTCAATAAGTGAAACTTCAATGGCATTTTACCAATTTAAATTAGTAATAATGTTTCTGCACAATGAATTATTCACTAAGGGGGTGCTCACTACTGTTGAAAAAGTATACAAAATAAATCTCTATATATAATTTCCACAAGGCAAATTAACCTTTGGAAACGGGCCACTGTTCAGATCATTCGCAAATGTAGTTTTTACTGAACATTTGTATCTCAGTGGAAATGGTGTTTGACTCCACAACATTCAAATATTTAGGTATTATGCTAGCCTTACCATAAGTGATTCAGCAAGGCCTATTACACTGAAAAGAACCCATGTTTTATCTTTTACTGATGAAACCAATCAATATCAGGCATGTTTTATTCAGCTAACAGAAATTACAAAAACTGTATAAGTATTTTTTTAAAGCTTGGAGAAGAAAAAAATTGTTTTAATTTATAATAACATATTAGAGGTCTACATTTCTGGATCAAGGGTCTTCAAATGCAGACTGACAATTGAGGCAAACTAAGTCTTATTTTAGGAATATTTACTGACATATATATGTAAATAAATCAAAATGGTAACTTATTACGTGTCAAATACAAATATGCAGAAATTAGGATTGGTCTTGTCTACTGAAGTTCTGAGTTTTTACGTGGTTTTACCAAAGAGGATTAATACTCAAACTTCCATTACAAAACTATATTTCTACTCCCATACTATTAACTATCCATATGAAAACTTCAAACTGAAAAGAGTTTAAGTAATTGAATGTAATTCCATTTCACTGTAACTCTCTTTGGATAAGTATATTCATTATAAATCAATACAAAATTATAGAATTATCACAGAGAAAGCAGTTTCCATTTATGCTGTTCATGCTGAAAATCAGATTTCTCTGTCAAGAAGCTTACTCATAATAGGTCTTTTCAACTTACAAGTCCCTTGCAATCAAAACTCTAACATCATATGTTTAAATAAAAGTAGGAAGCAGATCAATATAACGTTACATCTCTTGTAATTAGACTAAAACACAATTTCTCCTTTTCCTGGAAACATCTTTTTCTTGTAGAAAATGCTTCCAATTTTAACATTTTTAAGAAAATAAAAATGTGCCCCTTTTATTTCCTCAGCAAAAGCAAAATAAATTGTGCAGACTCCAAACTACATTGAAGCCCCCTGGTCTTTTCTTTCAGGAACCTCTATAACAGTAACATAAACTCAAGTCCACGGTCCTTGTGATCACATGCTCTCATCGCTCAGGGTCATGGCCTGGACATTAAATATAAGTGTCAGGCAGTCATAAAATCTTAACAATTTCAAAATCTTTAGGGATCAAATATAAAATGACATTATGTTGTGTGGAGACTGAAATCCCATGGCCTGTGGCCATGTCTTAAAGGTGTTTGACAAGCTGGGAAAGAAAAGAAGAAAAATCCAGTCTGCCTTAAAACGAGATCATTCCCACATGGAATTTGGTTATAAAAAGACTTCATATGTCTCATATCTATATTCACTAACATATCTTTTCATGCAATATATACTTCAAAAAACAATTTCAGAAATTGTTTAATAACATTTGGTTTTTTTCCAATTACACAGTGCTCGTAAATGAAAGCTACTCCCATATAACCAAAGCATCTTAGAAAAAGCAAGCAGTACCTGCCAAGGATAGAATCAAGCTCTCTCAACTCTCCTCCTCAGCCTATCACAGCAGTGCCGAAGAAAGAAAACGGGTAACCTAATCACTACAGGGCAAATCCTACAAAGATGGCAGCAGCACATTAATGATGCCTAACATAACTCACTCAAGGTCTTAGCATGAATAGGAAGTGTGACAAAAGGTGATGATTTAGAATGCACTCTAGTTTTTAAGGAAGTCAGTGTTATAGCCAGGATCAGGAAAAATGAACCCAAGACACATGTTCTCTGAGATTTACAATCAGGTGGAAATAGAGAAGGGCAAGGAAATAATTGTTTAGACTTATCCATAAAAATATGGAATGCGAAAGAGATACTACTGCTGACCACTTCATTCACAATTTTGGAAAAAGGACTGACAAGTCTCATGGTTTTCCATCACCATCAAGATCCAGACCCCTTCCATATCTGCTACTACACAGCTGTGCCAAGAGCAAATCCTATCTTGGAGAAAAGGTGGTTTCACATAAAGATGGTGAAAAGGTGGTTTCACCTAAAGACCACGCCAAGAAAAAAGGAGACGTGGAAAGAAGAAAGCGTTTTGAATTAAACCACAAAAGAATGATTAGTGTCATGAGAAAAATCAGTTTGATGTGTTATTAAAAAGTTCAAAAAACTGCTACTCACATCAGGAATGATTAGACATTTGACTCAATAGCATTACCCACACTTTTCTCATCAAGAAAAAAACAAAAGATGCCTTACTATAGTAAATTCTATTCCATTAATTCCATGTTAATCTAGGGCAGTAAGGGTCCTGGAAGTTGACAGTTGATTGTACTTCCACATTGTTGAGAAACTTTCAGTAGAAGGGGCTACAAACAGGACATGATGTTCCTTTGTGACGCAGGGGATTCCGTAAAATGACTGCTGTGGAAGGGGGGAGCCAGGGAAAAGTGGTGAAAGTTCGGCAGCATAACATAATAGATCCAGAGGAGGGCTGCATCTGGCTAGTACAGGCATGGGAGAGCTGACTGAATGCATCTCTTTATAACCCCATGACTACACTTCAGTAGCTTGAAATCCATCATAGTCTGTGTATTTACATCAAGGAAGTCAGCAAATGCTACATATAAGGACCTTTTATTAAGAAAGTAGCTTGCTAGTATGCCACTGGTTAGTTCCAAAGGACAAATCTCACTGATAGTCTCCTATCAAGAAAATAGAAATGCTATAATCTAACTCAAAGGATTGATATGCAAATTAAATAAAGCAAGAGTGCTTATCAGTAGATACATAAGAACTTCGGATAGCTATGACTATGAGCACTTTTAAGAACTGCCATCAAGCATAGATCTCAGAACCAATCTTAAAGAATTTCACCAATGATGAGGTCTCCCTAATGTGGTCTCTAAACACAGTGACGGTCATCAGGAAGGTAGTAAAGCATGTGGACAAAGCAAGGAAATGAGCTCAGGATGAAGGCGGCTTTCATTCCAAGTCATCTACATGCAAAACATCTGCTTTAAATCTGATATTTTTGTGTCTTAGATACTCTAAATATACTGTCATTATGAAATAAATGGTAACAATACTAGATATTAGTCACTAGCGCAGCATCAGAGGTATTAATAAAATATCTCTTAGTCAATAACACCATAGGCACAACCCAAATGACTAGTCTACAAAGTACAAGGCAGACTGCAAGATGGAGAAATAGGAGCTTCTTGGAAATCATCACACAACACGGGGCAACATTCACTGCAAACAGAATTTCAGAAAAAAAGAACATAACTATACAGACATTTTTATGTCCTGCACAAAAATTACCTTTATGTATGTCTATACACACACATTAAGTTCCCTCTGTACAGGCACAATGGATTATACACAATGAAACAGCCACCAGTGGTCACAGTACCTTTGTCTCCCACTTCTGCCACATGGCATTTTTCAAATTTTGTTCCTGTCACTGGGTATCCCCTCATATCTATACCTTTGCAACCCTACACTTTCATCCTCATTTCCTTCATGTGGGCCCAAGACAGGTTTTCCCACAGAACAGGCAATGGTACAGAAAATAGGAGGGAAAAGGGTAAATCAAAAAAAAAAAAAGACCCGCTCCCACCCACCTGCAGCCACCAGTGACCACTCCAATCCCACCAACACACTCAACTCACATATAACTCATTGGCCACCTCCTTTGAAGATGTCCGGGAGGCCTTGAATTATGAAGAAGAAAGAATACAATACAGAAGAAGATATTTTGTCATCCATCCATCCATTGTGGAAAAAAAAAAAATTCACTGGGAGCTTCAAAACTCTCCTCAATCCCTCTGCATCCCGAACCAACGGCAGGCTGCATCCCTCACCTCTGGTGTTGGGGCTCAGGCATTAGTAAGTTTCAGAAGCCAACAAGCTGATTCTAATGTGCACCTGGCTAGTTCTTACTCTTCCCTCTGCACTAGTGATTCTCTGCTCTAGCTGCATATTCCCAGATTCCCTTGCGAAGCTTTAAAACATACAGATGCTCAGGCCCTACCCTTAACCCACCAGATTAGAATCCCTGGGGATGGGATCCCAGTATGGAATAGCTTTCCCACGAAATGCCACACTGAAGTGATGGTTGAAAATGAATGTTCTTCACCTACAGATGCTCAGTTTTGTTTCTGAGAATTTTAGAGGACCTTAAAAATTACTTACATGTTTGCTAAGAAACAGACTTACAGGGCAGAAACCCAAAGACTGTCTTCTTCTCTATTTATTGGCAGGTGTATTAGTTTCCTAGGGCTGCAGTAAGGAAGTAGCACATACCAGGTGGCTTTTAAAAACAGAAATCTACTCTCTCACAGTTACAGAGGCTGAAACTCCAAAATCAAGGTGTTTGTAGGGCCACGTTCTCTCTGAAGGCTGTAGAGCAGAATTTGTTCCATGCCTTTCTCTGAGTTTCTGGTGTTTCCAATAATCGCTGGTATTCCTTGGTCTGTAAATATATCACTCCAATCTCTGCCTCTGTGACATGGTGCTCTCCCTATGTGTGTGTCTTCTTAGAAGGACACAGCCATATTGGATTAAAGGCCACTCTACTCTAGGATGACCTCATCCTAATTCGTCACATTGGCAACAACTCGATTCCAAATAAGGTCATGTTCTGAGGTCCCAAAAAGGACATGAATTTTGTGGGGACACTAACCCCATCTAGCAGAAAAGGGGGCTGACAGCTACTATGGCCACAGCATCAGCTGTTCATTGTGGAGAGGTAGCAGATTAAACAAGTTTCTGGCGATCTTGAAGAAAAAGGGCATGTGAAATACAGCTAGGATTAAGACAGTTCCTAAGAGATCAAAGTGCAAAGAGATTCCAACCCTGAACATTTTTATCACCACCAATGCACTGGAGCCCCACTGCAACTCCTAGCCTCTGAAATACCAAGTTGTGTATGGTTTGTAACTTTCAAATCCATATTTATTCTGTCAGAACTATAGCAATGCCCCTAAAAATTCATATGAAAACTCAAACATTTTCCAATAGATACACTGTCATATACAGTGTTACCACACAATGGCAGTACCATATTCTAATTTGGGGGACACTATAGAGGAGATAAGCTCTGTGGAATTAACCACACCTCACAGACAGATACATAATCGTCAAATGTACTTCAGGAGAAAATACATTCTAAATTCCAACTTCATGCTCTAACAAACATCCAACAAAATAGTAAATTCTCCATGGCTTACCAGCTTAGTTGCCCGTCTAATGGTTTATGTATTTGATTGTACTCACTATATAGTCAGTACAGAACTTTTGTTTCCAATTTAAATAATGACTATATGCATCATTCTGTCATGCTCAAACAAACTTATTTTTGATACACTGAGAGCCCTTAACAGTAATAGCAGCAATCAGCTGGACCACTGCCGAGAGAGGGCAGGCAGCACACACAATGAACACATGGAGTGAAAATATTTTTGACCAAAATAATAATTCCATAGGTAAAAATTAGGCCCTCTGATATTTGTGTCTTCTTCAGTTTCAAGTATCTTATAAAATAACTGACAATACTAATGAGCCTGTATTATTCATTTAAATATTACTTTAAGAGAGAGAGGCAACATCATTTGTCGAAGCCAAATTTTGTTTCTATATCTGCACATGCACTTGAGGGGGAAAAGGTCTCTCTAAAACATAGGAAATTAGGAGAAATTCCAATTAATCTAACAGATTTAATATACTTCAAATATTTGATACTCTACAGAAACCACCCACCTCTTCCCTGAAACTTTTCAAACTTTAACAACCCACTATTTTCCTATGTTAAGTTCTCAACATACATAAGGCAATGGAATCTCCCTTTATAACCATCTCAGAGAGAAAAAAAAAAAATCTCTTCTAACTGAGCTGATAGGTACTTTGATCTCTTACAGACTCATTCAAGTAACAATGTATATATGACAGAGTTTAAAGCAAGCAAACTCCTTCGGAAATTCAAAGTGTCTTAGAAGCCATGAACAAATGCAAACAAACTGAAAATGCAAAGGGGCTGTATCTCTATCACTTGCCTTTCCTTACTTTGTTTGATAGCTATGTTTCAAAGTGCAAGCAAGGAAATAAATCCTTCAAGTTGGCTGTGATACTTGGAAAGAAGCTTAAAGCAGTTTAATAACAGCAGTAAGATTACACCATAATTCTTTAAAAAAAAAAAAACAAAACAAAACAAAGGTGGCAAAAGGAAGTGCCTTTATACAAATGTCATTGCTTCCCATCTACTTCTGTTTTCCAAGAGAAATCTCTGTTGCTAATCGACTCAGATGAAGTGTCTGAATATATCTGATGCTCACTACTGCTATAGCTTCAAGGTCATTTTAAGGTTCTTAGTTTTGCTGCAAGTGGGTTGTGAACATTAGTGAGTTACACATGATGGACATTTTGGTTTGTTCAGAGTTAAACAAAAAAAAAAAGATAAAATCAGTGAGTAGTCTAAACAGATGCAAGAGTTCTGGCACTCCATTGCATAGGCCTATCTAGGACATAATCATCATTTACTAACATGAACTGAGCAAGAAAGGTACCCAAGGGAATTGAGAACTGTCCAAGTTTACATACTGCCTTTTTATAAACAAATAGTCACTGTCATAAATATAATGTAGATTATATTGATCAATAAAGTAAATGAAACACATTTGCCTGACTGGATGACATTACCAAATGACTGCAGAGAGAGCTAAATGATGAGCCCACCTAGATATAAAGACATCTTAACTTCCTCCGACTTGACAACTGTCAGATAACCACTTCTCTCGAGTCCCCGTAACAGGCTGAAAACATTATTTGGTAAAATGCAAACAATTAAATAATTTCAATTTGCTAAGATTTCCCTAGTAAAACAGTTGAGTTTTGGGTACCGTAACTCACAAACTTGACCTTATTAATCATAATAATTTATGCCAATTATGGGTACATTGTGAAATGTCAATTTTATATTTTTATTATAAAGATTGATTGCACATGGATTGCAAATTCAGTCCATGAAAAAATTAACAAGATTTTGAAAGAAAAAAAAAATCTTTGTTTTGGAGGAAAACTAGGTTTAAAAACTTAGCAATACTTCTAGTATCGAAATACATGTGTAGAAAAACATAGAAGGATGGGAGAAGAAAACAATCAGTTATTTTAATTCCAAAAAAGTGAAATATCTGCAAATCAACCTTTTTTTAGTTTCATCCTTCTCTAATAGAACTGTATATAATTCATTTATATAAAGCTCAACTTACATAGTGAAAAAACATCACTTTGTATTTTACATTTAAAATGGTTAATAAAATTTTAAGTTGTATTTCACAACCTAAAAAGAAAATTACGACAGTGATTTTTAAGGTTCTTCTATTACAAAATAAGGAAGGAACAGTTTTCATCTTTCTAAGTTACATATGCATGCACATATTTCCATGTTAAATACAGTTACGTGACAATATATAATGTTTTAAAAAGGGTTAAAACAGTACATTTCTGTTACATGTATTTTACTACAATTAAAAAAAAAAAAACAAATACCTGATTTGGACTCAAATATCAATATCATTCACCTTGATTTCTATCCAGGGTAATCTGAACAACATCAATTCCAACCTTCTGTAATTTGTGTTCTAGAATCTACTTACGTCAATCTTTAAATTTTTTGACCACTCTACCTCAGACCCACAGGAGACCAAAAAGTATGGAAAAGATTCCACAGCCCCATTTGTGCTTCAAGTCCATCAGCTAGTCCTACAGTTAATCAGGTGCCCTGATACAACTTTTCAGGTCCTTTCCTGTGTGAATCACCACCTAGAAAAGTCAGGGGCCTGCCTTTGGTTTCTAACAGGAAACGGTGCCACTGAAGTGCAAATTCACACGGTGGGGAAGCTGCAGGGCTGGAGCAACAGTAGAGCAGAAAGAGTCAGCAAGTTAGACAGTACTGCTCTTAAAAATAGAGTAGAATAAAGAAGCACAAAAGAACAATGGGAAAGAGATGCAGAATTAGTTTGACCTAAAATATGAATCAATTGCTTATCAATAAACCTTAAAAAACAGCCCATCTTACAGCTTGCCAGAGAATTTGTGAAGAAATATGACAGCAATGAGAACTCAAAATGTAAATCTACTTTTCTCGTATCTCCATGTCTTCTCTAATTGTGTTCTTTTCTCTGTAGTTCTCACACTTTCCCCTCGCTCCCTTTTTTCATCAACTAATTCTATAGCTCAAGGAAATCCCCCCACTTTGCTATGTCTGTTCATTCAACATGCCTACATTTTGTCTTGGGGGTCGAGGGAGAGGGGGAGGTATGAGTGAGATATGTAATTGTTTCTAAAATACTAGGGTGTGTTCTATAAATGAGGTAAAAGCAAGCTAAGGAGGAAGACAGAGTATAGTCAGCTTTAATAGTAAAACTCAATTAGGCTTTACCAGTAAAAATGAAGCTAAAGATTCCGCTAAGGCTATTTTTAAATACCCTTAAAACCAAAAACAGTGGTTTCTAATTCTACATGTAGTGACTTAGGCTTCAGATAGTTAAGAGTTTAACATAGATGGCACACTAAGAAATCAGCAATTGAATCTACAAGCTGGAAATATATTTTAAAGTTTTTTGGCCTGTTTTTTCTTTTTTACTTCAAAAACTTTAAAATTTTCTCATAATACTTTCAATTGTGACCATACACATTCTTCACATAAAAGGTCAACAAGACGCATTAAAGAGTCTTTTTAATTTAGTTTCAACAACGTGTGCTTTATTATAACTACTACCAATTCCAAATTATTTCAACACGATTACCCACTTTAATCCAAAACAATATGTCAACAATTATTTCTGTTCCTTGTAAAGAAAGAAGAAAAAAAATGAGATTATCACTTAACATTGATTGAACTGGCCAATTTAATAGCCATTATATCCATTGCTAGAAAGTGGCAGGAAGGACCTTATTCACATGTTGCCTCTGGCAATACCAACTATCAGAACTCCTTTGAAAGGCACTTTAGTTTCAAGAGTCAAAAGCACGTTGACAATCTTTGACCCAGTGATAAAATTCCTAGATTAATCCTACAACAACAAAAAAAGGAAAAATTATAAGTATAAAAAGTACATGGAAACACCATTTATAATCTAAAAACTGGAAATAATTTATCACAAGGAAACAGCTGATTTAATGATGGTTAAAAACTGTAATGGACTAGCATGCTGCTATTATAAACTACGTTTACAAAAATGGAAAAAAGAGTTTATTTAGCAATATTAAGTTAAAATGACCTGCATATGCAGAAGAATTAGTAAAGTATACAAAAACTTCTATCAAGTAAATGTGCTGGTTTCACTAGAAATATTTCTTATCTTAATCTGTATTACTGTCATAATTTCATAACATTTTCCTAAGTACTTATAGCTACAATATATATACATGTAATTCCCAATATTTTTTAACATTAATATAGATTCCAAATGGCAATACTTATTGAAAGACTATAAGGATTAGTAAGGTGGTATCTAGAAGTTCACTTACTGTGATAAATACAAGAAACATGGTTGTTATGTGGAAAATGCTTCAAGTTTTAAAATGTTTACGTTAATAAGATTTTACGATGCATCTGGGTGCTGCAGAGAGTTACAATGTGTAAGAGAAGGAAGACAAGGGAATCACATCATTTTATAAGTTTAAATTAATATAAGAAAAAGAGAAAGAATTTTCAATTTTTTTTAAAGGGCATATATTATATGACCAATTGAAAAGCTCTAGAGAAATAGCAGTAAAAACATACGATATTAGAAAAGGTTTGCAATTATCACTATTAATACTTAATATTTACCATTGAGTACTAACTTCCAGATGCCCTGCCAGATGTTTTACATAGTTCTCTTTTACATAATTCTCAGTACCACATTGTGAAGTAGGTAATTTTGATAACTATTTTATAAATGAGGAAAGTAAATCTCAAGTCAAAAACATAACTTGCCCAAAAGATTACATGCAGGATATCTAACCAACAATAAGCAGTGGCACTAAGACCAACCAAGTCCTGATCCTCTCTATTGCCTACCATTCCCAAATACCAGTCTTCAAAAAGAAAGGGAAAAAACTTTTATCAACCATATAAAACCAGCAGTTTTATTTCTATTTCTTCATATAAATGTTCTAGATTTGCTTTTCCTCAGTTGTTTTTTTATCTGTTGTTAAAATAGAGGATTTGTTAAATTATATGTCAAGAAAATTTCACCATGATTGGCCAACTACTTAATTTTCAACGTTTTCCATTAAATATTTCCAACTAAATAAAAATTTTATCTTTAAGATCATAAAATTGATACAGGCATGTTATCTGGTCACATTTCTATTTAAGTCAGACTTAACTACACCACAATAATTTGGTAGAATATACTGGATCACATAAATCTTTACTGTTCTCTATAGTGTCCAAGTCACTAGTGATTTCTAAGGTAAGTATAGAGGGACCCTATTAGGTTTAGGCATTCAGGGTACCTAGTATCACTCTTACAGTTTGTTCTCAGGCATTTCTCAACAAGTCTTATTCTATACATCAGGACAAGTCTGGGCCCCAGGAAGGACCTTGCTTTCTAGCATAAATAACATCTAAGGACTTCCTAGGCAATTAGCTCCCTTCCTAAATCAAATGTTTGTTTCCCTGTGAGTTAAGTTTCATAACTTAATCTCCTAAGAACATTGTTTATCAAATCTTACCTCTGGGCTATAGTTAAGCGCATATCCAGAGTGACGCACAAGGCAGCTGAAGTGAAGAAGTATGGAAATGAAGGAGAGTTGTGGCCACAGGCAGAGCCTGATCCACTCCACAGATGCCTCTAACTTATTTAAAGTTCTGTATTTTCTTATGAGTATATGTGAATTACCTCCATAAAACTCCACAGTAGATCATTTTATAGCACATTAAAAAATGTTTTAAGTGACTATTTGTTTTGAATTATCTGAGAACACTGATAGCCAAACATAAAAGTCAAAATGTCCTTAGGGATTTGAACCTCCAGGCTAAAATAAAAGTCATGGATGGGAATGGAGTTGGAGCATATTTTGTCTTAGCCAGTATGGTAGCCAGGGCTCACTACAAGAAAACAAATGAGAAGATTACCAGAAATACAGCCCATTGACAATAGAGAAACTACCTCTTTGGGATAAAGCAAAGGAACAGTCAGGAAAGAAGCTGCTAGAGAAGAGCAGAGCGGGAGTAGACAGACTCTGCCCAATGTTACACATTATTGCCTCTCTTTCTCTATCCCTGATTCAGACTCTGTGTCTATTCCTGCCAATGTATGGTCATTAGATGTCAACTTCTTTCATTAGAAAATAGGCTATTTCACCCTACCTTAAGATGGGTCTTAATTAAATTTTTAAATAGCTACATGAAGATGTCTGAACACCTCTACCGTTTCAGAACAAAACCTTACTGTCCTTTCCTCCCACGCACTCTCATTTTGGCCCCCATCCAAAAGAAAATAATTACATGGCACATATAATATTTAAGCCAATTAGTATCACTTCTTAGAAGCCTATAGCAAACAATAAAGGATGCATTTATATGTTAATGCAAGCCACAAAAGTAGCATTCTGCCATGTTCCTGTTTCATTTCAGGGTGACATTTAAGATAGCATCATGATAAGTACTTCACAAGATTTATCTCATTACAATCACAAATTTTGACTTTTGATGTACCGCCTTGCCATGAAGAAATTATAACTTAAAAGATAAAGATCTTGACTAATATCAGAGGTAGAAGCAAGTGGTTAAACTAAGACTCAAGCTATGATCTCTCTAATCCTAAACTGAATTTTGAATGGCTGCACTATACTGAAGATTATTAAAGTCTACTTCCTACTCTTTATAATACCTACAAGGCACTATATATTTTTAAAATACAAATATGCACAAGGCACTGTGCTATATCTCAAACTACAAAGACTATATAAACAATCCAAGATTCAATGGATTCGCAGACTCAGCCATTTGCCATTTCTTCTAGGAAACCTTCCTTGGACCACCAAGACCTATCTTTTTGCTCTTTGGAAATTTGGAAATTCTCCGTAATGTCTTCCTTGACTAAGTCTCCTCTAGCAATACTATTGATTGGATATGTGATTTAAAATTCATTCCTGCAATTTCTTGTGTTTGGATGGCTTTGTAAATTAGATTTCCACTCAACAAACAGACTGTGTCTTCTGCTTTGCTCTGAATGACCAGCTCTACCAACAATATGCTGCATGTTGAGTCAAGTAGATAATATCAGTTTGACAAGGGGGCAATCTCAGGTACACAGAACTAGATAAATCTTAACTCTAGGTTTATGAAAAATGATCATCATGTCTCTTTTATTTTATTTAGAAGAGGTGTATGTTACCGGTAATAACTTAGCTCTTAGGTAGGGTACTACTTCAGATTTTAAAAAGATGTGATTTAAATCCTTACTATTAAAGAGATGTAATCTTTTACCAAACCAGAATTTTTTTTTGTATGTACCCTTAACATACCGCCTTGTTCCATCTATAAGGAGTACATTATAAAACAACTCAAATAACTAAAATAGTTAATATCATGATAGATATTCCATGTTGCATAGATTAAAAGATAAAGTTACTTGAAAGATTAAATTAACTCATGATTTAGTGTTCCATGGGATTCTTTTCCAACAAGTACATATAGGGAAAAAAAGTACTTTTCCAACAAGTACAAATCTGAAAAAAAAAAAAAAAAAACCATGCTTCTCAATTTTCATTCATTTGAAATATGTATTTCAAAGATGAAATAGGCTACTCTAAATGTTGGACTAAGCAACTAATCAGGTCTTCATCTTCCTCTATTAATTATTTTAGGTAAACAGGAATAATCTCCTTTGGGAATTATTATAGGAGAAATTCCTTCACTGAGATGGGAAGCTAGACTACACGATGTCCAAAGCCCCATCCAAGGCAGAGTTTCTTAATTAAGAACTTTGTTCACAAGCATGCAGAGGCCTGCTCACACAAATCAAATCATTTTTCACATAAAAATCCATGGAATGCTGTTGGTGCACTATAAAAATACAGTTTGAAAAGTGAGAATAAAACCTATGATATGTAGCAGGAGCTTAGGATCAAGTCTGTTAGGCACAGACTTGATCATAGGACTCTCCTTAACATTTCTAATAGAAACTGAAGAACTTGTAGTAAACCAATATAATAACTAAGCCTTGTAGAAGGCCTTCAAATATTTTCTTATTTGTATCTAGATAAGTGCATCTACATATATTTATGCACCTACATAAATGCTTCACAGTGGAAGCTCTCCATAATCTGGTCTCACCTTACTTTAATTCCTGTATCTTCAGGAAAACCAGCCAAAACCTTACTGAACTGCACATTTCCAAGCTGCTCATTCTTGTGTCTGCTACTTGCTCAGGCTATTTTGCCTGCAGAACATGTTCTACTTTCATTCACTACCCACCCAGCGTTCAGTGTCAACTCAACGCTTGCTTTCTCCATATATCTTCTCTATGACACATGAGTATTATTCATCATTACCCATCTTATATACAACCCCATTCTCATGACCCAGGCCTATCTCTATATATTCATCTGAACTTTGTAATTTATCACCTGATCATGTAACTATCTTAAATACAGATTACCTCTTCCTGAAGTTTTGTATCCACAACTACATCATAATTCTGCATCTTATACTTCTTCTTTGCTGCTGGCAATGCTTGGTATTCAGTAAATACTTGATGGCTGATCAATAAAAAGAAAATTACCTTTACACTAATATTTTAATTTTCCAAAAAGTATTTAAAATTTTAAACAGAAATATGTGTTTAATGTTCAATTACTTTTATTCTTTATAACTCCATTTCTTTGTATCTACCCTAATAGCTACCTCCACAAACATCACTTACAAATTTCCTAATAATGCCCCATGGGTGTTATTAAAAAATGCCAATTAAATATGCTAACTATTCATTTTTCTCCATCTTTTCCTTTTGAAATAAAACATGACATGTACTGTATAAAATTAAAACCAGTGCTGCCTGCCCTTCCTATATAACAAAAACATTAAAAAATAAAAACACCTTTGCTTTTATTTCCTCTTAAGAAAAGCACAGGCTAAAACTCTCAGACTCTGCAAAAAGTATAAATAAGAAAGTTAAAATCCCTTGAAGTTCTACAGCCAACAGTATATATTGTCACTCTATTTGGTGTATGCCCTTTTATTATACATGTACATACACAAATGTAAAAATTCTGAAGCTGATCCTTAAAACCTAGCTCCCCACTTCCAACTGGTGTGACCTGGAGTTATTTAGCCCCCCGTTATTCCTGTTAACTAATCTATAAGATAGGGCTAATCATGTTATAATTAAACAATTATAATTGTTTAATTAAATGAGATATGTTTATATCTCAGAAGAATGTTATAATTAAATGAGATAATCAACATAAAGCATTTAGTCTAGTATCTAACACACAAGTGTTCAACATGTTACTATATATCCTTAATATAAATGTTATTTTGTAATCTACTTCCTAGGTTACTTAACAATGTTTCATGGTCAAACGTTCATAGCAAAGAATTCAAAAAGACTTTGTTTTGAATGGCAGCTTAGTGTTCCTTCTATCAATGTGCCACATTTATGTAACTATCTCCCTATTACACATTTTGATTGCTTCGCAACTTTTAATTATAATAATCTGATGAGCATAATTGTAGCTAAATCTTTACACATACTCATAATTACATTTTTGGAATACATTCCTAGAAGTAAAACTTCTGGGTCATAGGGTAATCACATTATAAATGTTTATGCATGCAGAAAGTATACATTCACACGTTTCATCAGTGCACATATATGTATAGTTATTACAGTTTCTTCCATATAGCCATCATTTAAATCTTGCCCAACCTGAAAGCCAAAAAAAAAAAGAAAAGGCACTGTTTTAATTTATATTTCTTGGACAACCACTGACATTAAACTTCAACTCATTTGTTTACTGGTCATTTACGCATTCTTTACTTTTTTTTTTTTTTTTTTTTTGAGACAGAGTCTCGCTCTATCACCCAAGCTTTAGTGCAATGGTGGGATCTCAGCTCACTGCAACCTCTGCCTCCTGGGTTCAAGTAATTCTCCTGCCTTAGCCTCCCAAGTAGCTGGGATTACAGGCACCCATCACCATGCCCGGCTAATTTTTTGTATTTTTTTTTTTAGTAGAGACAGGGTTTTGCCATGTTGGCCAGGCTGGTCTCAAACTCCTGACCTCAGGTCATCCGCCCGCCTTGGCCTCCCAAAGTCCTGGGATTACAGGTGTGAGCCACCACGCCTGGCCCATTTATGCATTCTCTTGTGAAATCCCAGTTCAAATATTTTCCCATCTATATATTGGGCAGTTGCTGCCTTAATTTAAGAAGTTTCTTCATGAAAAATATTTTCACTGTCATATATATTTTAAATGGTTTCTACCACTTTATAGTTTGCCATTTAAACTGACAAAACTTTTATTACAAAAGTGTTAGAAGTAGTCAAATTCCAACTTACAATTTCTGGATTAGGAGTCACTCTTTAGAAAGTTCTTCTCTATTCCAGATTTACAAAAATATTCACTTAAATGTTATTTTAGTACCTTTTGTCTATTACTCTGATTCGGGTTTTATGAAGCAAAGCATTAGGGAGATACATTTGAAATCTTAGAGCATTATTTCTGAAAATATCTCAGGTTGGACAAAGCGTAATGCCTAGGCAAACTGCTGTATTAAGATGCTATAGAAGAGGATTTGTCTAAGCTTCCAAGGTAGAATACTATAAAAAGGCCCATCATATACACTGGCTTAATAACTGTCACTATTTTTAGCAATTAATTTTTATCCCAATCCATATACCTCTGTTCTCTTTCCAGGCCTTTTTATCCCATAGCTTACCTCATATCTGTAGTCAAATATTACTTTCTCTAGGGAACACAGCCTCACCAGTTTCTTGTTATATGCTAGTCTAGAATTTTTCCCTTTATTCAACAGCAACTCTCGGGTGGAAGTGATACATATATACAGTCATCCCTCAGTAGTTGCAGGTATTGGTTCTAGGACTCCCACCACGAACCAAAATCCAAAGATGCTTGAGTCCATTATGTAAAACAGTAGTATGTAGTATTTGCATATAACCTATGCATATCCTCCCATATACTTTATCTCTAGATTACATATAATACCTAATACAATGCAAATGCTATATACATAGTTGTTGTGCTGTATTTTTAAATTTATGTTGTCTTTCTTTTAATATTTTCAATTTTGGTTGGTGGAATTTGTGGATGAGAAACCCTTGGAAACAGAGGGTTGACTGTATTTGTATTAATGTGGTTATCTGCACCACTGCAGGAATGATGATTATTTTTGATCCCCATTGCAGGAGCTGGCATCTAAACAGGTGCTCAATAAATATGTCTCAAAAGAAAGGAGGAAGAAAAGCTCATGGTACATTTTTTTGTTTTGTTCTCATTTGTTTGTTTTTAAATGTGATGTATGAATGAAGCCGAACAAAAAGCTGGTACTACCCAGTTCTTTAGAACTAATCTTTACCTCACAAAATTTTAGAAAAGCTGAAGAGAATCATAATCATTCTAAAAATTCATTTCTGATGGGTTGAAAGGGGAATGAATTTTTCACCCTAAAATGATCTGCTGTCATTTCACATCTTTAAAAGTGGGTAAGTATCGGCATCTTTTCAGACGCTCTTCAGTTTTAAATTGGACACACATTTTTAAAACTTTGATTTTGGCCGGGCGCGGTGGCTCAAGCCTGTAATCCCAGCACTTTGGGAGGTCGAGACGGGCGGATCACGAGGTCAGGAGATCGAGACCATCCTGGCTAACACGGTGAAACCCCGTCTCTACTAAAAATACAAAAAACTAGCCGGGCCAAGGGGCCGGCGCCTGTAGTCCCAGCTACTCCGGAGGCTGAGGCAGGAGAATGGCGCAAACCCGGGAGGCGGAGCCTGCAGTGAGCTGAGATCCGGCCACTGCACTCCAGCCCGGGCTACAGAGCAAGACTCCGTCTCAAAAAAAAAAAAAAAAAAAAAAAACTTTGATTTCTAAGACTCGTAATCTGAGAGTAATAATTCAAATCTGTACAGGATTTTGCAATTTAGAAAGCTTTTTTACTTTTTTATAAACATTTTATTTACTATTCATAACTTTAATGCGACATGGGAGTTTAGAGTCAGGGAAGAACCTCACCTTAAATTAACAGGTCTATTGGTAGAAGGACTTGAACCCAGGATGTCTGACTGGTCCAGTGCACTCATTAACCAGCCAGCTACAGTCACATCCCTAGCTCCTGCCTCAGAATGCTCCTATACGCTCCAATCTGCAAGGCCCAGCATTCATCAGCTCCTTGTGAACCATCTGACACTACCCACTCTCTAAGTCTTCACAGATTTTCCTCAGACCACTTCCATACTTTTAACAATGTATCCTCTCCATACTTAAATATTCCATGGCCTATTTTGCATTTCAGATAAATCTCCTTTTCTCCCACTTGTAGATAAATCCTCTGAAGAGACTCTTAGTTCTTCAAAGAAAGACTTCTCTAACTTCCCACGGTACCTAATATAAGGGTTAAAAATTGATTGCTAATAAACTGGAACAGGGAGGCTATGTACCAAAAAATGAAAAACAAGCTATTTTTAAAGGCCTTGCCTGACACTCACCCAGACTCATTGTCCCCACGCCCACCCACAGGCTCCCAGATCCCCGCACAGTGCACACACAAATACATGAACGCCACCAGCAGGAACACAGCGTTCCCAAGAAGGTTTTTCAACCTGAGGATGTGGTAAGATTTTTCTATCCAGATGACAGGGGAGTGTGGCCTGGAGGCTTTTCTTTGCAAAACAGGATTTTCTTGCTGGCTTCTGCCCTAACATTCACTTTGCATGTCCCTGTGGTGGGACAGGAGGCAGGGTAGAAAAGAAGTCAGCAGAAGAGGGTGATGAAATTCCCAAGGAACTTCCATTAACCTGATCTTCCAGCACAATGAAATGTGAAAGAATAAGACAGGGAAGAGGATGTAGAAAAAGTGCCTTCTGTTTTATGCCAACAAGACAGCTCTCATTTTGACAAATTTATAAACCAAGTGTAAACTTGACCATGTTGTCTGTTTTTATCTTGGTGACACGAGCGTAAAAGATTTTCTTTCGGGCTGGGACCAGTGGCTCACGCCCGTAATCCCAGCACTTTGGAAGGCCGAGGCAAGCGGATCACGAGGTCAGGAGTTCCAGACCAGCCTGGCTAAGATGGTGAAACCCCATCTCTACTAAAAATAAAAAATTAGCCAGGCATGGTGGTGGGCATCTGTAATCCCAGCTACTTAGGAGGCTGAGGCAGAGAATTGCTTGAACCCGGGAGGCGGAGTTTGCAGTGAGCTGAGATCACGCCACTGCACTCCAGCCTGGGCGACAGAGCGAGACTCTGTTTCCAAAAAAAAAAAAAATTATTTCTTGAAAACGTGAACTATTTCCTGAAAGAAAAACATCCATAAGCACCTGCTTTTTCCCTTTATATCAGAAGTTTCCACCTTGCTTACATAAACATGGATCACTGTATCTGCAACCCAGCCTGCAGTATGTTGGAAGGGATGGATTCCCTTACAATACACACTCACGCATTTAGACCCCCCACGCCTACCGCATGTATCCATCTTTACAACCTCAATTATGCAGAAGACATCCACAGCCATCAATTAA